ACTTCACTCCAGGCAATCTTAGTCCATTTCATAGCCTATAATTAGAGATACTGTATAAGTTAGTAGAAATTTTTAATTATTTAACTGCGGCTTGAGGCTAACTACATTTTTTTATTTGATTTATCAAAAAAGATAATGATTTAAACCCACTAGTCTTCAACTTTACCTGCAATTGATCGACTTTATATATATCTTTCTCCTCGGCTTCATCACGATCAATTGCATATTGAAGCTGAATATGACGATAATGAAGTTTGAATGATGCAATGATGCCGGCATCCATGGGTTGAATTTTTGATGTCGTATATGGAGGCAACAAGAGCACTTTTACATTAGTAAGGGTGATAGCGCTAGTAACATGCGAGGGGGCACCATCAAGGATAAGTAAAACATGACGATTGGATCGTCTCATTTCTTGATCAAATTTTTGTATCCATTCTTGAAAAAACATGGCGGTCATCCATGCTTTTTTATTATTACGGTAATAGAATCCAAGTTCTTCACCTGTTTTTTTTTTAAAACATCTAGGTCTTGTGGCATTTCCAATAATGAAGGGTTCAAGTTTGTGGGTGCCATCCGCGTTGGCCGTAAACGCAATCGTGATTCTTGTGCAATTTTTTTTTGACCCTTCAATCTGGCGAGATGCAATTGTGCGATCAGGGGCCATAGAATAAAATAGACCTGTCTCGTCCATATTGTAGATATCATGAAGGGGATATTGATTAGTGGTATTAATAATATCAGGAAGGTTTAGAATGATGGCAGCAACGTCAGCAGAACCACTCTCGCCATGCAGCTTAAAATGGTGAAAATTGTGCCTTTCTTGAAAAGCCTGCAACCATCCATTTGAAAATTCAGGCTGATCATTTTCAGGAATATTCATCAGGTCTGATAATCGCTTGCCCTTAGCTTTAATCATGTCTCCATTTAAACGTATAGCCCGATGTTCACACTGCAGTACCCAGTTCGCCAAAGCAGTGTCTAGTTCGGGGAACGTAATGACACGGCGTTTTTTAACCCCAAGGTCACTTGAAGACATTTTACTGAACTCGTCTTTCCTTTTTAAAATATCAGAGATTGTACTTTGGCCCGGGGCTTTTACTAGATTGAATTCATTTTTAGCCCACTCAGCAAGTTCCTTCTGAGTAATTGTTGGATTTTTTAGGTAATGGTCACATATCATTTTTCTTTGGTCATTACGCAAATTTCCAGCTAAAATAACTTTATCTTTTTTTTTTCCCATAATAATGGCGAAATAAATAGGTTGTATAATTTTGTTATTTTAGGAGTTTTTTTTTTTTTTTGAAATATTGAGCTTAATATTATAGAAGTGTTACGATTAGGTGAGCGAAGACAGTTAACTAACAGAAAATAATAATGGAAGACACAGGATTTTTAGAGCGGGCACTATTAACCCGATAATATCCTTTACTTTTTTGATACTGTTGTTACGGGGTGAATTGTAGGTTTAATGACTTAAACACGAAATTATATATGATTTAGGTGATAAGGCAACTCGCCAGAGGCGTGACTTTGGTGATTTGACAATTTTTATTAGAATTTATAATAAGTTTATTTAAGGGAAGTTATTTAATATAAGATGTATTAAATATTAGAATCCCGAAGGATATTTTTTAACTAATGCTAATTCCCATCTCTTTTATAGCTTTTCTTCTCTTATAATTCAAAGGGGCTTAGGGGAAACTAATTAATTACAGTACATATTTAACGAATTTAAGAACAACTCATATAACGTAGGGGCTTATAATAAGAATTACAACATAATTCAAGAAAATGTGAAGGCTTTGCTTCGCTCTTGCAATATGAAATATTGCAATGACTCGATTTCATCTAAAATTTCTTGTTCTTCGCTTTTCTCTTCTTACGCGTTCAGGCTCTTCGGATTTCGCATTGGTTATGAGGCTGGTTCGGCCGAGGGTTCATCCTTCATATCAGCCTTAAATTAAATTAATTACCTGTTTAGATGTTCCATTCGGCCGATAAGCCTCAACCGCGAAACCAGTTATTCGGCCTTGTTTCGAATCATAGTCATGTGTTTGCTACGCCCAATTTTGTAGATCCACTCTAACTTTTATTTTAATTTTCTTCTTC